GTCTTTCACTAATAGTTGTAAACCTTCTGTTGTGATATAAAAACTTCTTATAATATCATTAACATCTGTTTGGGCTCACTTCGAAACTTAGTGGTGATCCTACATTTTTCCTTCTCAGAAAGTTTTCGTTCTGGTTTAACACTCCAGTTGCACCTTTCTAAGCTGGAGCAGCCTCAAGGGGAGAGGGGCTTGGAGTGCTTCCGCCTCCAAAATGGTCTGAGCATACATGGCAGTTATCACCCGCCTACACTTTAGGGCCTTCCCACTGCCAGTTGGGCTAATGCCTGAGAAGGCAGATGGAGTTGGAAGTGCAGCCTGAAGCTGACTCAAACGGTCTTGGCACTGTGGAGGGAGGGTGCTCTAGCTTTGCTGGTTCCCGCGGTGGCAGCCCAGGTCTTGGTGTCACTCTTTGAGTGAGCCATATTGGGTGTGCATCACCTTGCAGAAGGAAACTAGACCTCAGAGGAGCAAGGAGGCTGACTCACAAAGCTCTCTTAGAGACCTCTTCCCTTGGAACTGCGACTCAGGCTGACAACATCCATTCATCCTCTTGCTTATTTGTCCGGGCATTGACCAAAGTCTCGTTGGTGCCAGACATTGTTCTGGAGACATAAAGATAACAATGTCTGTTTTCAAGGTGATCCTGTTCTAATGGAGGAGACAAGTGGAGAAATCATTCAAACATAGAGGGAAAAGTATATACTAGAATAGGCATTCTTGATGGGGACAGAGATTGGTTCTCAGGGAGCAAGAATGCCAGACATTACATGACAATGGTCTGTGGCCCTTCGGAGCTCAACCCTACCTGACTGGATCTGTTCCTTCATATTTAATTTCTCTTGTTGGGGAGAATTTAAATTTCATTTCATTTTTCTCCTTGGCGAGGGGAACAAAAATTAAGAGAAGTTGAGAACGCTGGAAGAATACACAGGAAAAAGGTATTTGTGCATAAGGAGTAATGCATGTAAGGTTAACCATGTTGGAAAAGTGCTTTTTTAATGAACTGCAGTGGTTCAGTGAGGAGAGAAGGTCGGAGATTAGACTATGGGGGAGAGGATGGTGTGGCCCTCTGGAGACACAGAGGCTTCAGCTCAGCTCATGCAAAGAGGTGGTATTTTATTCTTAAAGAATTGGGAACCACTGAAAAACTTCAAGTAAGAGAGTAACATATACAGATTTATGCTTTAAAAATATTCTGGGAAGAAAAGAGAAGGAATTGTATATTGTCAGCACTGGTGAAAATAGATGTGGGGGAGGGGCAAAGGCTGGAGCCCACCCAGGAAAACAATTTAAGAAGAAACTGTTGCTATGAAAAACGGGGCAGAGCTGAGGTGGGGGCCTCCTCTAGAGCAAGTGGCAGTGGGAAGCTCTGGGAACTTTGCCTGGTGGGCAGATGGGCCAGAAGGGTCTGGATGAGACCGTGTGTATGCAGCCACCATCATCATCTATGAAAGTAAGGAAGCCAAGCTAATTAAATAATCTGTTTACTCAAGGCATCCACTAGGGTTTTCTAAGGGAATTAATGTCTTGTCTTTTCTTTTTTTAAAGTTTATTTATTTATTTGTTTAAGTAATCTCTACACCCAAGGTAGGGCTTGAATTCAGGACCCGGAGATCAAGAGTCACATGCTCCCCCAACTGAACCAGCCAGGCGCCCCAATATTTTCTCTTTAAAAAAAATGCATTAGGAAAACTTCAAATATATTTTTAAAATAGAGAAAAATGATGTAATGAACCATCATCATACATCACCTAGCATCAACAATTTTTTTTTAAGATTTTATTTATTTATTTGACAGAGACACAGCGAGAGAGGGAACACAAGCAGGGGGAGAGGCAGAGGGAGAGGGAGAAGCAGGCTCTCCGCCGAGCCAGGAGCCCGATATGGGGCTCGATCCCAGGACCCCTGGGATCATGACCTGAGCCGAAGGCAGACGCTTAACGACTGAGCCACCCAGGCGCCCCGGCATCAACAATTATTAACTTAGGATCAATCTTGCTTCAGCTCTGTTCCCAACCTAATTGTCTCCCCAGACCCACACACTGAATTATATTGAAGAAATTCTAGACATATCATTCCATCTTGTAAATGTTTTTAATGTAGCCCTAAATGATACTCTTTTAAAGGATTTCCAAAATATGTAGCTCCATATCATCACAGTTCAAAATGTTATCAATAATTCTTAACATCATCCAATATCAGTCAATGTGCCATTTCCCTGATTTTCATACACATATATAGTTGGGTAGGCAGATGGATAGAGATGATGATAGGTAGATATATAGAGAGATAGATGATAGATTTTTATAAAGTTGATTTTAATTTGGGTCCAAAAAGATCTACTCCACTGCTTTTGGTTGTAATGTCTCTTAAATTTTCCCCTTCTAGTTTTTGTTTCTGAGAATTTGTTTGTTGAAGAAATCAGAAATCAGCTTCTATTTCTGTCATAATTTAAATACAGCATCATTTCTTCCTGTTTCCGTCACAACGTTGTAATAGGAACGTGTCCGTCCTCATTCAAGTACTGCCATTTTTAAATTTTTATTTATTTGCATCCCCATCACTACTTAAACTCATTGAGTGCCTTAAGAATTGCCTTCTTGTTATTGGTGAGGCCTCAGCTGCCTGACTTAAAATGTCCCCACCTAAAATGATCTTAAACCCATTCACTCCTTTTCTGGTGTTAATTTGTCATCTTTGTGATGCAAGTTGCAAAACGGTCAAAAAATAACTCCGGGCGTTCACTCTGGGTTGCCTAAAGAATGAGCACACGAGAACCAGTTTCTCCACCTTCTCCCAGTAGACCAGTGTTTATGACTGATGTTTCAACTGAAACTTCCCACAGGCTCCTGGGTTCTGGGCAGTTGGGTTCCAGGTACTGGACAGCTGTTATTTCCCACAACTCCCATAAAGAGCTGATGGCCAAACCCAGAATGCTTGGTGTCCATTGACAAGGTAGTGTTCCTGCTTGCCCTATAAGGGAGAAGAACAGTGAAGGGCCAAGGTCTTTCCACTGGCATAAACAGCCACCCTGAACGGCCAGCAGAGTGCCCAGTGGCAACTAATATTTATGCCAAGGTCTACTAATCAAATGACTCGCCTAGAATTTTATCCAGACTACAGTAGGTGGTACAGGTGCATGTAATCTGTCCAATAGTACCCTATCCATTTATATCAAAGCCAGCTCTGAAGGGTGATGATATGGTGTAGAAAAATTTGGACTTTTGACCTCCATACTGCACTGTATCCTCGTATCCCTGAGCCTCTCACAGCAGCTCCTTAGTAGATTATCATCACCTTGTTGGCCACCACTTAATTAGAAACCTGTAACATAATAAAATAAAATTAAATTAAATTAAAAAAAGAAAAAAGAAACCTGTAAGAAGTTTGTGAACCATCAAACAGAGGTTATCGAAGCTCAATGTGGAGGGTTCTCAGCTGTCAATATAAATTTGAGTGTAGGGGCGCCGGGGTGGCATCCTCGGTTCGGTGTCTGACTCTGGGTTTCAGCTAGCATCATGGTCTTGGGGTCGTGAGATGGGACCTGTGTTGGGGGGGGGTGTTCCTTCCCCATTCTCATGCACTCTCTCTCTCTCTCAAATAAATAAATAAAATCTTAAAAAATATATGTATATATATATTTGAGTGTAATACTGAATATTTTTATATCATAAGAGGTTGATTTAAGCACTACGGTGTATGGTAGACGGTCTTTAATTCTCTATATGTGGAGCTTATTAGGAGTAGAGCATTGAGGAAGGAGAAGTGGCGGGTACATTCCAGAAGTCCCAATCTATGGCAGAAATGAAGTAAATGCTGGTAGGAGAGGACACATCACTTCCTATATTACTCTATAGACCTTTCATTTTATGTCCATTGTAATTGTTCACCATACACACAGATAATTGAATTGTTAATTCAAGCTTTTCTTTTCCTCCTTATTTCAGGGTTTCATGTCATAAATGAACAGCTGCTCGTTGCAGAAATGTGACTGTGTTAACATTTAGCTATGATATAGTCTGACTGTAAAAGCTGTTCTGTTAAAATAGCTACTGGACTATTTCATTGTATCCTTAGGTGCAGAAATGAAACAGCTCCCTAACCATTCACAGCTCCTGGGCTCAAGGAATAAAACAAGAAATGCTCAAGAAATGTCATAAGCAAATACAACACTCTGAAGTCTGAGACTGCATATTTGTAATCCTGACACAGTCGAAAAACCCAACCATGCCGAAGGTGTCCCGTGCGGGCCAGTGCTTTAGTCAGACCGCGTTAACAGACGATTCCCTTCATACCAATGTTAAATAGTGAAAATTAGTTCATGACAGTGTGGCAGTCTGGTATATTCTCCTGAAACATAATTGACATGGCTCTTCCTCTAAAGAACAGAGGAGAGAGAACCATTCAAACCTTTACTTCAATATCTGGGAATTCATCCATAGGATTGACGTTTTAAGATACAATCAGTGGAATAATGTGCAAGGGATTGTAGATTTCCAAGCCAACTTCTCTCAGCCCCACTTAACCACATATATGTTAAAGTTTGCTCCAACCCTGAGTAAAATCTTCTCTGTATTCTAAGTTAGCTAGCTTGTGAAGGCCTGGAAATAGGAATGGTCTGGCCCAGTCTCTGTCACTGCATGACTCTCTCCTCCCACAGGTATTTAGGGCACACTTAGGAAGTGCTGGGCAAGCCCTGTGCGAGGCACGGACGCAGGCTAAAGGGCTTGTGGCGCCAGCTGGATGGATCACTCACTCACTGATTTAAAACATAGGTCATTAGGCAGTGAGCCCCTCGCCTAACACTAAGGGCAACCACATCCCTGTATTAGAATGTAATATCTTACCAAGAGAATCTACTTCCCCAAATAATTATTTCCTGAGACACAATGCTTTAATGATGATGTCTTGAGTTTCTTATTTTATGTATGAATATATGTGTCTTATTACTTTGCTTTTTTCCAAAGAAACCAATTATGACTCCTTGGCATTTATTGCAGATGAGCAAGAAAGTTCTGGAGCAATTATTTACACTGTGGAGCTTAAGCGCTATGGGGGGCCCCTTGGCATCACAATTTCAGGAACTGAAGAGCCGTTTGATCCTATAATCATTTCAAGCCTCACTAAAGGAGGATTAGCCGAAAGGTAAAATTTCAAGAAACTACTACAATTACCTGTGTCTGAGATGGGTTTCCTTCCTCACAGCTGCATAGAAACATGCTCCCCTCTCCTGCTTGGTTACCTGTTAACTTTTTCACATCTACACAAAGGATCGATCCTAGAGCTTGAGAACTCTCAGGCAGAGGTTGGACTTAACTCTGAGGGGCATCTTACAGGCGGTAAAAGATGTCATGGGCTTAGTGTTGATGTTACTCTCTGGAAATGTATACACTTGACCACAGTGGACTGGAGGTGGATTTATATCGTGTCCATTTTGAGAGGAGGAGACTGAAGTTCAGGGAGGTTAAAAGGCTTGTCCAGTCCAATTCAGCAAACATTTACTGAGTCTGTATTTCCTGATAGGTACTGGGCTTGGCCGCTGTGTTTTCCAAAGAGGATGATACAGGCTTTGTCTACAAAGATTTGGGGAAATAAAGTGCAGTGACCCATCTTCATAATGTCTTGTAATTTAGAATGTCCATTTGTTCTTTTGGTGAAGATGCACCCCCACCCCTAGCCCCCGTTAAACTGCATTTCTCTCTGAGACATGTTGTGGTGCATATTCCAAACCTTTCCTCCAGTAATCTAGCTCAGGAATGCACGCACCTCATTCATGCTGTCACAGATAATGGTTTGCAAAATAGAGATGTAGCACTGCAGAATCTTGGAGCTGCAAGGTACCTTGGAAGTCAGCTCATCCGAGATCTTCATCTGGTGGATGAGGGCACTGAGGCAATCCAGAAAGGGTTACCCTGTTGGGATGTCATATTGTGATATTAACAGAGACACCTATGATGTGGTATTCTTTAGATACTCTCCTTTCCTAGCTTCCTCTGTTAGAGAGACAGTCCTAGGTATCTCTGTTAGGGAGACAGCAAGAAAAGTTTAATGTAATTGGTCAAGTGTTCTATGGCTTACAACATAGATATTTCCTAAACTGGAGATCCTTTATGAAAGAATGAAGTTATCTTTCGTTTCTAAAGAAAAAAAACATTCTTTGAGAGTAGATACATGGGTGGACTCGTTAAGCAGTCTCTCATAACCTGTGTGACCCCATGTCACCTCTGTTACCCCAGTTGCTGCTGCCTGCTACCCCAGAAGCAAGCTGTGGTCAGCACACTCAGCCGCAGGCAGCCTGTGAGCTGGGCTCATCGCCTCACTCACTGTCCTTAAACTGAGCCAGTACAACAGAAGGCTGGTGCTTGGGACTCCCATTCTACAGCCTGTAACCCAGTGGGAGAGATCTCAGTTTTTAGATCATCCCTGAGTTTGAATGCTTATGAATCTACTACTGCCCCACCAAGTGCTTCCAAAGATGGATATGGTGAACATCAAAATTATAAATTCCAATCTGCCTGCTCAGAATTGGGTGAGGATGGAAAGAGAAGAGACAAGGTCAAAGGTTCATTAGTTCATTGATCAATAAATTTCAAGCAGTGGGCTGAGCCCTTTACATAGTCTTCCTATTTAATGCTCAGGGCTCCCCTGAGAAATGATTATCCCCATTGTAGAGAGGTTAAAACAAGATATCCAGGTCACACAACCGAGAGTGGCAGAGTTGGATTAAAATGTAGCACGAATTGATTCTTGAATTCAGCCTTTTCAATCCTTAGAATTACCAACAGAGGGGCCCTGACACACCAGGGTCTGATGGAGGTCCCCATCTCTCTGAGCCTCACTTCTGGTGAGCTGGGGTGATGACTGTGTTCAACCTTTTAGGTCTGTAAAAAGAAGGAATGCTCCATACTGAATATCACTGCTCTTATTGTCCAACATTGTTTATTTCCTTGGGATTTTTAAGAGGGTTACCAAATGACTCAACTTTCTTAGAATTTAAAAAGCATGCAGGTCCATTTTACATCCTAATTAAAACAGTTTTTCTAATTTTATTTGAAACTAAAAAGTTATTCACGACAGACGCAGTTATCTTGTAACATTGCCCAGGAGAGAGCGAGAAGTGGCTTCTAGAGACCCTTGCCAAGCCTTTATTACTATGAATATATAAAGCATGGCAGGGAATTTATATTCAGTGGCACACAGGGGTTTTTCTACCTTTCCTATTACTATTTGGTGTTTCAGAACTGGCGCGATTCACATAGGAGACCGAATCCTGGCTATCAATAGCAGCAGCTTGAAAGGAAAGCCTCTGAGTGAAGCCATCCATTTGTTACAGATGGCAGGAGAGACTGTCACCTTGAAAATTAAGAAACAGACAGATGGTGAGTGGGTCGAGAGCCACCATTATGGATTTTAAGTGCATTTCTGTCCCTCTGTGTGTCTTTCTAGGGAAATGACTCTCCAGAGGGAGTACTGGAATATCTTCTTATTGAAATGTACTCTCAGACTTAAACTCCTTCCTCTGTCTTTAAAGCCCAGTCAGCATCAAGTCCCAAGAAGTTCCCCATTGCTAGCCACCTGAGTGACCTGGGAGATGTGGAGGAGGACCCCTCTCCAGCACAGAAGCCGGGCAAGCTCACCGACACATACCCGTCCACTGTGCCCAGCGTGGACAGTGCGGTGGACTCGTGGAACAGCTCTGGAATAGACACCAGCTATGGGAACCAAGGTATGTCCGAGCGCTGGGGACCAGAGGGCTTACTGTTGAAGCCTGTGTTCCTCAAAGATCTATCTTCTGCTCTTTGGGGGAAAAAAAAAAAAATCTTTATTTATTTTACCTGTGTCTGCTTCAGGGCAACCAGATGGAACACACTGAATATGGTGGCCTTGCATTTTCTCCTCCTTAATACTGATAAGTCATGAACATTCATCAAATGCTAGCAAGGCCCCATTAGGTCCACTGATGTCTGAGTGTTCAATTCAGAGCTTGTCCTTCATGCTTAGATTAATATGAGGCAAGCCATACAATAAAGTGGTTCACTGAAGACAGGCCCCATTCTTACTTTTTTAAGCAGGCTTTCCGCAAAGATGGATTGGGGAGTGCTGAAGGTGTGCTTTAAGAGATGAGCCGATGATTTGTGACCCCATTTATTCCTGCCTCCTCCTGACTTTTAACAGAGACTTACACAGGTTTCCTGAATACCCACTGTGAGAGAGTTGTGACCACAATATATAAAATTATATAGTAGATTTTTCTTCACGGGCATCAGCTTCATGTGAAGAAGTATAACCTACATTAGAAGTTAAACCTCACTCATAGAATGTAAACACACAAAAAGTGTTAGACTGAATACAGATTCATAAACTAAAAGCTTCTTTTAAACATCTCTTTCCTTCCAATGATATGTAGCATGAAAAAAGAAGTGTGTCAAAAATTCTTTGTATTTCTCCTATATGGGATTGAGATATGATTGCCCCCATCTGGATCTCTGGTGAAAATATCCCTCAAGGAAAGGATGTTCCAGATTGCCCCTGCAGTGCCTAGAGAATATTTGAGTTCCAGGTCAAGCCGCAGCCACTTGCCTACCTGAAGGTGGACAGACTGGGCAGGAGTGTTTTGTTGTTTTTTTTTTAAAGATTTTATTTATTTATTTGACAGAGACACAGCGAGAGAGGGAACACCAGCAGGGGGAGTGGGAGAGGGAGAAGCAGGCTTCCCGCTGAGCAGGGAGCCCAATGTGGGGCTCGATCCCAGGACCCTGGGATCATGACCTGAGCCGAAGGCAGACGCTTAACAACTGAGCCACCCAGGCGCCCCTGGGCAGGAGTGTTGACTGGGGCATCCTGGTCATCTTCACATGTGCTGAAAGCTGTGGGTGGGCCACTAGCTGCACAGAGGAATTTATTTGGAAGCAAGATATAACAGATACACCTTAAAGATGACAGTGTAAAGCCTTACAAATGCTCATGATTCCTTACACCTTGCAATTCCATTTCTAGGACTTTATCCTAAGGAAATAATTATATCAGAGACAGACAAAGATGTTGTTTTAGGCATTGTTTACAATGTCTAAATATTAGTGAAAAGTATCAAGTGATAGGGAATTAAATAAATTTAGGGAATCTATACACACACACACACACACACACGCACACACACACAGAGTTTACCTTCTCTTTTTTTGCCTGGTATAAATTCCAGCCTCCACATGGTTCTGCTCGTTTTCTTCTCTCAGTTCGCCTTTGCCTAGGTCACTCTGTCAAGTCCCATGAAGAGCGGAGGGCAAGGAAAAGGAATATTTCAAAATCGTCAAGTGGTTACTTGTTAGAGATGATACTGGAGTTCAGTGGAGAAAATATTTTGAAGACCCAAAATAGAATTGGTGATTTCATTTACCTGGCAATTAGTTTTTCTAAGTCATAATACCTTGCGACAAATTAGCTTGCCACCAGATAACTTATGTATTAATTTCTCATTGATCAAATTCTTGATTTCTCATTGCCCGTGAGTTGATGAGCCACCAGAGGTCTCTGATAAAGGACACAGAAGTCAGATTCTACCAGAGTAGACTCTGAGGTTTGTTTATTAATGTGCTTGCTTATTTATTGTTTCTTAATGTGGAGACTCTCTTGTTACACAGATTTTTTTGTAAGGATGTTACTGATTTTAATGAGTTCTGCCCATAAGGTAATCTGTAAGAACTTAGCTACTCTCAGGGCTGCCTGTCTGGCTCAGTCAGGGGAGCACGCTACACTTGATCTTGGGGTCATGAGTTCGAGCCCCACGTTGAGTGTAGTGAATACTTAAAATGAATAAATACACTTAAAAACTAAAAAAATAATCTGAAAGAAAGAACTTAGCTACTCTGTCCTTTTACACCATAGGATGAGGACCCTGATTAGCATACTAAACATAGAGCCTTTCCCACATGAATAAAAACTGAAGAACCATTTATTATTCGTGAAGCTTTTGAAAATTTGAATTCCTAGACAGAGACTAGTAGTCATAATAATATTAAATTGGGCATCAATAAGTTAGAAATCTTCATGAGGTTAAAGAGAGAGAAGATGGCAATTGTGAGCGAATCACATCCTCCAAGACGAGAACGCAGTAACAATACCTCATATTTGTAAAACAGTGCTTCCCAAGCACTCACCTCAGGTCTCATAAGGAACATGGACGAGGAAAGGCTGGTTGATCACAGGATCTCAGTGTTAGCAGAGCATTTCAAAGTCAGCTCGTGTGCGGACCCGAGCGCCCGTGGTGACCAGGTGCTCCCTGAGGGCTGAGGCAGATCTCCCCAACCCGCGCCCGGAGCCCAAAGTTCTCACTTGTATTGAGTGGAGATCTGTCTGCCTGTAAGCTCCTGCCTGTTAGTCTACATTCTACCCTCAAGGTCATTTAGAACTAGACAAAAGCCTCTTCCTCTTGACAGCCCTTCAGATAAACTCAAAGATGGCTCTCATGCCTCTCTGAAGTCTTTCCTTCTCCAAGCAAAATTGCCCCAGGTCCTTAAAGGTTCCTTACATAAAACTTGCTTTTGAGTATCTTTATCATCCTGAGGGCCTCTCTTCTGAGTATGTTCAAGTTTAACTCTCTGCTTATTAAAGTGTAGCATCAGAAAGGAAGGTTATACAACAGTCTGACAGCCCAGGGCAACTCAAGCCTGTCACCTTTATCGCTGAAAATTTTAGAACCTATGAAAGCAGCCTATCAACCTCGACATAGAATTGTGGTGGTTGAATCCTGTGTGTCACTCATTTTGTGCTTATTGCTTACCAAGATCTCAAAGTCTAGCTTTTTTTTTTCTTTTACTTGTGTCATTAGGTTAAACCAAGTCTTTCCAGATTGTGTGAGTGAAGTTGACTCTTTAAAAGCAAGGCAGAGAACCACACTTTTTCCCCTGTTAAATACTATGTTGTGAGATGTAGGTGATCTCTTCAACCTGTGCCTCCAGCCTCTCAGCAGACTCTCTACCATATACCAGGAAGACCTTGCACATTCTTATTGTACCCTACAGTCCACGATAGCTGTCCCATTCCCAGTAAGATATCACACCTCCCATGATGCGCATCTTCCTCCTTGGGCCCAATGTCTCTGCAGCCACATTCCTTATTCTCTGCTGCTTCTCCAAAATGTCAAAATTGCCCCATTCTTTCATTCAACAAATATGTAATGGCTGGCACAATATTAGGCCAAGATGCAATGGATATACAATGATCGGCAAAAAGAGTTGTGGTCTCTATTCTCATGGAAGAGGTAACCCAGCTGAAGGACCACACAATTAACAAGTCCTACAGTACAAAGTATTAGTTAATCAGGCTCCCTGCTCGGCGGGAAGCCTGCTTCTCCCTCTCCCACTCCCCCTGCTTGTGTTCCGTCTCTCGCTGTGTCTCTCTCTGTCAAGTAAATAAATAAAAAAAAAATCTTAAAAAAAAAAAAAGTCTCACAGTGGGATGACTCTCAATTCTACTGTGCAGCTCTAGGATGAAAAACTTTTCTAGTCTGCCTCTGGGTCAGCTTCTTCCACTTCTCATTCTCCTGACCCTTATATTCATGCCCTTCTGCCTTATCAAAATCTTATGCTTTGGCCCCCTTCTGTCTTATTTATTCCTCTTTCTATTATTTTTTTAAGATTTTATTTATTTACTCATGGGGGACAGAGAGAGTGAGAGAGGCAGAGGCAGAGGGAGAAGCAGGCTCCCTGTGGAGCAGGGAGCCCAATGCAGGACTCAATCCCAGGACCCCAAGATCACAACCTGAGCTGAAGGCAGACGCTTAACCGACTGAGCCACCCAGGCGCCCCTTTATTCCTCTTTCTAACTCAGAAAACCCTTTCCCTGGATTTAGCAAAGGTCAATCAATACAAGGGGAGAACGATAACTTGCTGGTACTTAGAGTCTGACATTCTCATGGATGGTGTAGCTCTTTTGGTCTGTAATTCCTGACTCTCAACTCAGGTAGCTATGTTTTCTGTCTTATCCCACATTAATCTTTAGATCTTTCTCTCTTTTGAGTTCACTTTTTTCAGCTTTATTGAGGTATAATTGACAAATAAAATTGTGTATATTTAACGGTACAATGTGATGATTTTGATATGCGCACATATTGTGAAATGATTACCACTATCAAGTTGATGAGCACACCCATCAACTTACATAGTTACCATTTGTGTGTGTGTGGTGAGAATGCTTAAGATCTACTTTATTAGCACTTTTCAAGTATACAGTACAATATTATTTTTTAACTATAGTCACCATGCTCTACTTTAGATTCCCAGAACTCATTCATCTTATAAATGAAACTTTATGCCATTAGACCAACAACTCTCCATTTCTCCCACTCCCCAACCCCTGGCAAACATTCTAGTTTCTGTTTCTAAGAGTTGAGTTTGACTTTTTTTTTTTTTAATTTAGGTTTTAAATACAAGTGAGCTAATATAGTATTTGTTTTTCTACCTCTCACTTATTTCACTTAGCATAATATTGTCCAGGTTTCATCCATGTCATTGCAAATAGGATTTCTTTCATGTTTATGGCTGAATAATTTTCTGTTGTGTATATATACTACATTGCTTTATTCATTCATCTGTCAATGGACACTTAGGTTGTTTCCGTATCTTGACGATTGTGAGTAATGCCACAGTTATATCTCTTCAAGATACCTACTATATTTCCTTTGGATATATATGCAGAAGTGGGATTGCTGGATCCATTTTGAGGTCATTT